CTTTTTAGCGGTATTAACAATATTTATGGCGGGGGTAATGGCTAATGTTGAAAATGATTTTAAGGTAACGTTCCCAACCTTGACTCCAAATTACATTGCGCTATTTAGCATCAGGGGATAGTATGAAATCCCTCTCATATGCTTTCAGAGTTGCGCACAACACAATCTCAAAAATAATATCTGAGACTTGTGTTCACTGACTTCTGTCCGCGGATCAAGGTTAGGTTACACGTTACGGATAAAATGAAAACTTGCGGATCGAAATCGGCGGAACGAACGTAAAACTGGATCAACCAATCACAAGCGTTCCGCCAATTCCGCATTGCGCACGTTCCGCGTCCATGGGATCGCACCATAACACGTAACATATGCTTTTTAACTATCAGATATTAAATATTTCAGGGAAATATTTCGTACGTAATCTCTAAAACATTATATATTATTGAAAGCTATTTAAAATATAACTTGGAAATTAATATTGAAATGTAATATAGAAATTATTCAGAAATATTTCTGAAACGTTTCATTAAAATCATTTATGACCCGTCTCACTGAAATATTTCAGAAATATTAATTTTATGTGTACGGCTATATGTGCAATATGTATATGTGCAATGTGTATATGCGCAATGTGTCGTTTTGTAGGCAATCGGAAATGTCGGCAAATAAAGCTGTCGACAAAATATTGTGGGCAAACGAAGCTGTTGGCAATCGGGAATGTAGGCAAACGGAACCTCTTCAATGTCATTTGCGGTCGGACTTTTTAATTAGAATCTTTTTTAATTACACTCTCAGTAGCTTAATAATTTTATATACTTTTACTAACTCCTAACTGTGTGTTGATTATTTGTCGGTCTTAAAACACAACTTTTTGGTTGAGACAGTAAATTCACATATTTAAATCGATTAATCTATTTAATATTTGATGCTCATAAGCATCTATTAAATTTAAATTTAAATTTAAATACTATAAAGAATTTATTTTGAGAAACATTACCTCAGCCAGGGATCAAATCTGGGACCACCCTCAATTAATTAATTGATTGGTTGATCCTTCGCGGTTCTATCTCACTTGCAATTAATATTGTTTATTCACGTCACCTGAAAAAGATGTTTACCGGTTATTGCAAAGAATATTATCATATGCCTCAGTGGTCGAGTTAACTAACAATAAGACATCCGTCACGAATTGAATTATTTTTTTTTAAGTACTTTTCTAGTTATAAGGTTTGAAAGTTCTAGTATTTTGACACAAAATACAAAATATCTTGTAAAACATTCAGTTTTTGGTAATTTTATCTTAATCTTTTATATTCAAGAATACAACAAGAATTAAACATGCATACCTTTTCCTCTTTGTCTTCTTTCTCTCTTGTCTTTATCTTCATAAATAACTTTCTTCCTTTTTCTCCTTCTCTCTTTCCTTCTTTTTATCAGAAATATCTAAAAATAAATGTTTGCTTTTATATTTTATATATTTATATTTGTTCGAGATTAATTTGAATCTCGTTTATTTCATCCCCGGCGTGATGGCAGCATCAGCCGGGTCAGATCGTGCAGCGCCGCATGAGCGCTGCCCGCGCATGCCCGATCGCGACGCGAGGCGACCGCGCGACTTCACGTACGTTACCGGCGCTTTTTTTCTCATAGCGACCGTACGTAGTACACGCGTCTTGAAGTGCAGATAGTTCTCAAGTGCTCTTTTGTGGACTTTCTCATTTTCTCATCCGAGAACTGACTCAGTGTGAATACGAAGTGAACTCTTATCAGTGCGAATCATCCAGGACCACGGATACAGCATCACCGGCAGCTCAAGCTCACCACGCATCGCACGCCGGCGCCGCGTGGACACGGCTCACGGGCATCCACATTCATGAGGCCGGCTATCGATTAATATAATCGAATCGTGCAAGTGAATTAAGACTTTTCATCCACCGTTATCTCACAGACTACCAAACTGTAAGCCTTTTACATTTATTAAACAGACCACGGTATTTTACTCAAACGCCCAGAGTGTTCGATCACGTGATTTTCTACCCTCTAACGCGTGCATCCGTTCCCCGAGTCTCTCGTCGCAAAAGTCCTCTCAGCCCTGCTTCCAACCGCAGCGGTCCAGCGAGCTCTCCCAAAAGAGATTCGCATTTTTTGGTCCTTCGAGCCGGATTGCGGCGAGGCTCTCGGACGGATTGGCTCAACCACGCAGTGATCACGTGATCTCACGGCTCTTTCGCGTGATCAGTGGCGCGCACATACACGGTTTCCGCATTGTTCACGTGATTTCACGATCCTCTCGCGTGACTCTCATCGCTAATTCTCTCTCTCTTTCTCTTCGGCGGCGATACTTCTCAACCTCTCTCGTTCTCTCGCCATACGGGCAAGACGGACCGCTCGAAAACTCCGGTGTTGGAGGTGCCTCCGGGAGACCGCACGTCGGGAAGAACGGCGTCTCCTGCCCGGCTTCCGACGGACCTCGCACTAAAGGTGCAGACCCAGATGGGCCGGGTCGCTACGCTCAGGGAGCTCACAGAATCCCTGCCTAACATCCCACCGGAGACATCACTCGAGGAGGTCTCCAAGTTCCAGCAGCTGGTCGAGGAGACGCACAAGGCATTTATCAAGGAGCACGCCTACTTCGAGATGTCATGGCCTGCGGCACTTACTCAGCATGAGTACGTTGCCGAGAATGCTCACCAGGCCGAGTCACGATGCTATCTACAAGCGCGACGAGTCATCGGCGTGCTTCGCCACGCATTGGCAGCCGCTCAGCCCGCTCAACCACAGACCAGCTATCGACCGGCGAGAACAGACAGCCGCTCTCACGCTTGCCGGACATCTCACTCCCCAAGTTTACCGGGGAGTGTGCCGCATGGCCTGCGTTCAGAGATCTCTTCACCAGTCTGATCATGCAGAACGAGCAGCTCACGAACGTCGAGAGACTTCACTACCTCCGTTCGTCGGTGGAAGGCGCGCCAGCTCAGCTGATCGCAGGATTCATCATGGCAGGAGGCTCGCTCACGCCGTCCTGGGAGTTACTCAAGGACAGGCAAGGAGTGTACTCGGACACGAGGAGTCGTGTCACTCACGTTACGCTCGACACATTCCACCGCAGCTGCCACAATTCAAGCTCATGTCCTCCGGACAGTTACATCAATCTTACCATCGCTCGAGGCGGAACCGGAAGAATGGCCGCATCTCAGGAACTTAGCATTAGCCGATCCTGATTTTCTCATCCCGCGGCCAGTTGACATCCTCATCGGCGCAGATGCTTATGGGCAAATCATCAAGCCCAATTTCATTCGGCATTCTCCACTCATGCCGATAGCGCAATCTCCATTTTCGGATGGCTCGTTCTTGGACCTGTCAATAGGGAAGCAACACGCACATCAACGCACCATGCCTCTACTCAAATCAACGAGGATGCTCTCAACGAGTTATTGACGAAATTTTGGAATCAAGAGGAGGTGCCTACTCACGATGTCACTCAGCTCACTCCTAACGAGCAGAGGTGCGAGAAGCACTTCAATACTACACACTCTCGTGATTCTTCAGAGAAGTACATCGTCAGGATTCTACTCAATTCACCAGACGATCTTTTGGGTGATTCTTACAACGTCGCTCATCAATGTCTGAAGGGATTACGCAGACGATTCTCAAGGGATGTGAATTATCAACGTCTCTATCAACAATTCATGATTGATTACGAGACACTCAACTACATGACGAAGGCATCATCCATCTCCAGTCATCGCTCACATTTTCACCTGACACATCACGGTGTTCTCAAGCCGGACAGTATTACAACGAAACTGCGGGTGGTTCTTAATGGCTCTAGCGCATCCACATCAGGCTACTCTGTCAACGACCTCATGTACACTGGAGCAAAATTACATCTGAACATCTCAGAGGTTCTACCATGGATACGAAGACATCGTCACATGTTCGCTACGGACATCACCAAAATGGACATACAGATTCAGATTCACAAGGATGACTGGGAGTTACAGCGGATACTCTGGATGGACAATCAGCTCAATGAGGTGCCATATCATTCAACAACGGTCACTTACGGGACGAAGGTCGCACCATTCTCAGCCGTACGGACCTTGTTCCAATTAGCAGAAGACGAAGGACATAGTTTCCCACTAGCTGTGCCATCCATCACTCATGACAGGTATGTCGATGACATATTTGATGGTGCAGATACAATACAACAATTGCAGGAGGTCGCACATCAACTAAAGGGCCTCTGCATGGCGGGCGGCTTCCCACTGGCAAAATGGCATGCAACTCATCTCGACATACTCAAGACTGTCACCGACAGCGAAGACCAAGGCTCACAAGTCACCTTCGACGATTGCGCAACCAAGATACTCGGACTCAAATGGCTCCCTCAAGAAGATACTTTTGCATTCTCAATCCGAAGCTCACGCTCAGAAGACAGACTCACAAAACGCCTCGTCTTATCTGAAGTGGCTCAGATACTCGATCCACTTGGTTTTGCATCACCTGTCGTGATCAAGGCCAAAATTCTCTTGCAGGAGCTGTGGCTGCACAAGCTCCAATGGGATGATCCACTGCCATTCCAGCTCTCAGCCCGGTGGCTCATCATCAGAGAAGAACTCACAAGCTTGGCCAAGCTCTCAATACCACGGTGGCTCAACACGTGGAGCGACTCGCAAGTGGAACTTCATGGATTCTCTGATGCTTCTCAATTGGCAATGGCTGCAGTCATATACATATCCGTTCACGACTCAAACGGCGCCACGTTTTCACTTGTGTGCTCCAAGACTAAGGTAGCACCTCTCAAGCGGCTCTCAATCCCGCGACTGGAACTCACAGCTGCTCTACTGCTCTCTCGACTCATGCAATACGTCAAAGCCACTTTGAACATGGACGTTACGGCAACGCATATGTGGACGGACTCTCTCGTAACACTTTCGTGGATCAGATCTCATGCATCACGCTGGAAGGATTTTGTCAGGAACAGGGTGGCTCAAATTCAAGAGCTCACTCCAGCTGCTCACTGGAGATACATACCTGGAACTTCCAACCCGGCTGATTGCGCATCACGAGGCCTCACGACCACTCAACTTCAAAACCACGCACTCTGGTGGACGGGACCACCATGGATACTCAATTCAGACTCATGGCCGTCGCAACCAGCACTCTCTGACGAGATGAGTGCTACAGAAGCTCGCCCAGGCGTTTCGCTATTGACGGTTACGCCAAGGACTGAATATCAATGGGAACTCATCTACAGGTACTCAAACCTCACTAAACTATTGAGGATTACAGCTCTCTGTTTCAGATTCGTCTCACGGTTGAGGAAAGTCCACGACTCATTGCCTGTCAGACACATCTCTCCAGAGACCTTGGAGAAAGCGAGGCTCTTCTGGATTTAGGCAGCTCAAGCAACGCACTTCTCTCACGAGCTCAAGGCGCTACAAGCAGACTCACCGTTGGCAAGGGCACACGCATTCAACAGATTAACTGCGTACATCGACGCTCAAGGAGTCATTCGCGTCGGCGGACGACTCGCTCACGCAGCTCCTTCACTCGATGCGATACATCCTGTACTATTGCCTCGTCACTCTCAGCTATCATCATTGATCTTCGCTCACGCTCATCAACGGACTCTACATGGAGGCACGCAGCTTACGCTGTCGCACATCCGACACCAATACTGGATTCTAGGCGGGAGGGCCCCTGTCAAGTCCCACATTCTGCGGTGTGTCACGTGTGCTCGGCAGAGGGGGATCCGTGCTCATCAATTGATGGGCCAACTACCTCTCTCTCGGGTTACGCAGGCACGACCGTTCACTCACACAGGTGTGGACTACGCGGGGCCGCTCACCGTCAAAACATGGAAGGGAAGAGGTGCCAAAACAACTAAAGGCTGGATTTGCGTTTTTGTCTGCTTCTCAACCTCAGCAGTACACCTCGAGGCGGTCAGTGACTACTCAACGGAGGGATTCATTGCCGCCTATCGACGCTTCTCATCCAGACGCGGCATTGCTCACACCTTACACTCCGACTGCGGCACCAATTTCATCGGCGCGGATGCGGCTCTCAAAAGGCTGTTTATCCAGAGCACTCAAGAACATCAGCGAGTTTCTCACCTGCTCTCGCAAGATAACATTCGATGGGAATTCAATCCCCCAGCGACACCTCACATGGGAGGAAAATGGGAGGCCGTCGTAAAATCCATCAAGTACCACCTACGGCGGACCATTGGAGAAAGCGTGCTCACCTTTGAGGAGCTCACCACATTGCTCACTCAAATTGAGGCAATTCTCAACTCGCGCCCTCTCGAACCATTAAGTGACGACGCGGACGACATCGCAGCATTCACGCCAGGTCACTTCCTCGTAGGAAGTCCGCTCACCGCCATACCAGAGCCCTCACTCACCGACCTGGCAATCTCAAGACTCTCTCGATGGCAGCTCATCCAGCAGAAGGCACAACATTTCTGGACACACTGGGCAGCGCATTACCTACAACGATAACAAGCCATCTCAAAGTGGCATCACAGGAACAACGAGATCAAGATCGGATCATTGGTGCTCATCATCGACGAGCGGCTACCGCCATGCAAATGGCCGTTAGCCCGGATCACGGCTCTACATCCTGGGAAGGATGGTCTAGTGCGGGTGGTGACTCTGAAGACAGCCACTACCACTCTCATCCGACCAGTGGTCAAGCTCGCCGTCCTGCCAATCTCATCATAACATCAGGGATCATCAACTACGTTGCTGATGGCGGGCGGAATGTTCGAGATTAATTTGAATCTCGTTTATTTCATCCCCGGCGTGATGGCAGCATCAGCCGGGTCAGATCGTGCAGCGCCGCATGAGCGCTGCCCGCGCATGCCCGATCGCGACGCGAGGCGACCGCGCGACTTCACGTACGTTACCGGCGCTTTTTTCTCATAGCGACCGTACGTAGTACACGCGTCTTGAAGTGCAGATAGTTCTCAAGTGCTCTTTTGTGGACTTTCTCATTTTCTCATCCGAGAACTGACTCAGTGTGAATACGAAGTGAACTCTTATCAGTGCGAATCATCCAGGACCACGGATACAGCATCACCGGCAGCTCAAGCTCACCACGCATCGCACGCCGGCGCCGCGTGGACACGGCTCACGGGCATCCACATTCATGAGGCCGGCTATCGATTAATATAATCGAATCGTGCAAGTGAATTAAGACTTTTCATCCACCGTTATCTCATAGACTACCAAACTGTAAGCCTTTTACATTTATTAAACAGACCACGGTATTTTACTCAAACGCCCAGAGTGTTCGATCACGTGATTTTCTACCCTCTAACGCGTGCATCCGTTCCCCGAGTCTCTCGTCGCAAAAGTCCTCTCAGCCTTGCTTCCAACCGCAGCGGTCCAGCGAGCTCTCCCAAAAGACATTCGCGAACATTTTTTGGTCCTTCGAGCCGGATATTGTATAAGACATGGTTTTTGGCAAAACTATAATATTATTTTACTTTATGACAATTTATTATTTTACTTTATGACAATGTAATAAGTATTAACTTATGAATCTAGAATGTAGATTGTATATGTAATAAAATACATTGTTATTATAATCCAAATACAATCTACATTCTAGATTCATAAGTTTATACTTATTACATTGTCATAAAGTAAAATAATAAATTGTCATAAAGTAAAATAATATTATAGTTTTGTCAAAAACCATGTCTTATACAATATCCGGCTCGAAGGACCAAAAAATGTTCGCGAATCTCTTTTGGGAGAGCTCGCTGGACCGCTGCGGTTGGAAGCAGGGCTGAGAGGACTTTTGCGACGAGAGACTCGGGGAACGGATGCACGCGTTAGAGGGTAGAAAATCACGTGATCGAACACTCTGGGCGTTTGAGTAAAATACCGTGGTCTGTTTAGAAGAACAAAAGAGATTCGCGAACAATATTTTATATACATAATAATATCCATGCATACAAAATATATTATTTTGAATCTATAAATTAATAATTACAATTTTATAAGAAAAATTTTTAATTTAAATTTACAAAATGATACTAAAAGCTTATGAGAGATTGACCGCTCTCTTTGAATGTACAATAAACATGCATACCTTTTTCTCTTTGCCCCTTTTTTCTCCTACTCATACAAAACTCAATACACATGGTATTAACACACACATACACGCATACACGCAATATATATTATACATACCTTTTTCTTTTTGTCTCTCCTTCTTTCACCTTCTCCCTTTCTTGTCTTCTTTAACTTTTAAACTATTACTAACTTTTAAAATATCACATAAGCTATCAAAATTCGTATGATAACCACAAACTCGATTATTCGAGATCAATTCGAGATTAAAAAAAACCAATCAGCATCGCGGAAAAACGGAGACATAACTTCAATATATTCAAGTATTGATTTTACATGTATCGTATGTTTTTTTTCGTGCGTGACTTTAATGGCTTCTCTCGTCTTCTAATGATTGCGTGCTTTCTTATCCACAGCTGCTCTACATTCTAATCACCAAAAAACGGCTTTATCTGATCACTACCTTCGCAAGAAAACTTATGAAATTGAAAAACTGAATTGTATTATATGGTTTATCATATCATTGTAATTTAAAATAAACGGTAAGTTATAAAAATCATATAAATTTAATTGAATAGAATTATTTATATTAGAATACTTAATATATAATTTTTGATATTAATAAATATACGTATTCAGATTTTAAATCTTTTATCTTATCAAGAATATCGAGTAATTAGCTTTTTATTTGTGGCAAAAATTTTACTAAAGTGACATATTTGTCGAATTTTTCACATAATGATATTATGAATACATTTTTAATATTTTTGTTATAAATAAAATTTTTTGTAAATTTATCTTAGCATTCTTTATCAAACTCGCAATGTTCGTGTATATTTTTACATACACTATCGTCCATAAGTATTTTTTCCACCTTTTCTTCTTAATTTACAGCGATTGTGTTATTGCAAGGTATCTTTAATAATTTCCTTACATTAACAAAAGAATGAAAAAGTATTTTAATAAAAGGTATTTTTATTAAAATATGTTCACTGAGAAAAATGTCCGATTAAATATAATCGGATAATCCAATTACATAATAACAAACGGATATATCCGATTAAATTGTATATCCGATGAAAAATTTGATCGGTTTTTCAATCAAATTTCATCGGTAATTGCATTTCATCGGATAAATTTTATCGGATATATCCATAATTTAATCGGAAAACGTAATCGGAAAAATTAACCATCGGACATACTATTTAATTGGTTTATCCGATGAAAATTTTTCTCAGCGTTGTTTTTGCGATATCTTTTTTTGGT